CAGGGTCACAGAGCAAAACATGGCCTCCTCTCTGCTCTCTGCATGCACTGCACCTTGCTTCTCTGACCTGTATTTATTCCTATATTTGCAGAGCCAAGGCCTCACAATGAGAATATCAAGTCTCTAACTCTGGAGGAGTATCTCCTTAAGAAGAAAAAGAAGAAGAAGAAGCACCGTGAGGATGAGCACAGTGCCAAGAAGGTCCGATACATGCACAACAAAGCAGTACAGACAGTGTGTGCAGGACTTGGAGCGGATCTCACTCTGCCTGTTCACCCTGATCCGACTCTGCCTAGCACCATGAAGCACAAAGGCAGTCGCCAGTCGGACAGAAGTGCTGTCGACAGCCTGCAGCCCTACCTCCACACTCTCAAACTGGGTCAAGTCCCCTTCCTCTCTCACCAAGATCACTACATCCGCAGCTCCTGCCTCCAGACAGGCACCTGGTATGGACGCTTCATGCACGAGGAAAGGCAAGCCAATGGTGGGGGGTCAGTTCTGCATGCATATGCTGACGAGTTAGCCTGTCTCAGTCCAGCTGAGATGGAGTGCTTTGCACAGGAGTTCCTGGAGTTGGCTTTTGCTGAAAAGCCTAGAGGTGCGGCCTCCTATGCTTTGACAGTGGTGCACAATGCAGCCACCTACCTACCTGACTTCCTGGACTACTTTGCCTTCAACTTCCCCAATACGCCAGTGAAAATGGAGATAATGGGCAAGAAAGACATCGAGACCACCACTATTGCCAACTTTCACTCTCAGGTACGTGGTCGTCCTGTGTTTGAACAGAGCATTTAACAAAATCCTACATTTTTAGCACGGTCTAATTCATAGGTCATAGCGTCTGATCAGTGGTCCTTTGCTGCTGTTCTTGATCAGCTGAGTTTCTTTTTGAATTTGGCTGAACTGGGACTGTCACCAATAATGTCTTTACACTGTCGATTAAAATAATTTCTCTACTAATTGAATATTTAGTCTGTAAATGTCAGAAAATTGCTCGTTTCTATTTACCAGAGCCCAAACTGACATATTCATATTCCTTGTTTTGTTTAACCAACAGTCAGAAAAATACAGGCTGGATTTTTGCCTAATGATTTCAACTAAGACAATAACTTAATCAATTATTTTTAAAATTGAAACCATAGAATTTTTTGTCATTCAACTAATTAATCAGCAAATCATTTCATAACATATTGTAAGCAGTTAAATTTGATTGGGTCACTGCACCATGGAACAGGAAGCCTTCGATCACAGGCTTGTCATCTGAGGTGGAAGCATGACAGACTTTTTAGAAGAGGAAATGTAAAGTTAAGAAATATGAATTTTGGCTAGCTTTTTATTATATAAAACAAATGAATCGGCTTTAATTAAAAGCAGTGTTCACACACCAGGATAATAATGTTTTGCAGATCCATGTGGTTGGACATATTTAAAAAAAAAAAAAAAAACTACATAAGAGAGTGAAACTCTGAGGCTGTGGTCTTTAGTCTCCTCTGTACGGAGCCCATCAGTGTGACTGCGTATTGCTCAGTACTGGGGTGAGGCCACACTTGCTGCCAGGTGATGAGAGGGATCCTCATCACAGAGGAAATACATCTGTTAGGCATGATGTGCTGGCGCAGCCTCTCCACAGCCGCTGTGGCATGAGTTCGTATTCTATCTATAGCTTAAAGAACTATGTCGGACAGCGGTGACATTGTAACGTGGTAGGTCACATGCTGCTTGCTAGAGCAGTTATTTAGTTTGGCTCAAATTAGAACACAGATGACAGTAGATCTCAAGGACGTTCCAGTAAGACATTAGCAGTGATGTCATGTAGATGCTGTACTGTAACAGTTGAACAGGTGATGAGGGCCGTTTCCCACTGACATATGTTGTGTTTTTACTGGGAACATGATGAATGTGACTATAGTCAATGCAGCTGGTACTGTATGTGTATTAAAAATAATTCTAATTATTCTTTTAACAAACTGCAAAACAGTACTAACACAATTAGTAGAATACTGTCTATAATGCATGTGGAGTGTGAGGCACTGAGTAACGTATGCCGTTTCTTGTGTCCTGCTGCAGGTGAGCCGGACTTACTGTTCAGGAACATACCGGGCCGGACCCATGAGGCAAATCAGCTTGGTGGGAGCCGTGGACGAGGAAGTCGGGGACTACTTCCCAGAGTTCCTTGACATGCTGGAAGAGTCGCCCTTCCTCAAGGTAAGAGGAAGATCTAAAGGCTGTACTATGGAACCATTTTTCAGTCTAACTAGCTCACTCAGGCCTGATGAAGCCACCTGATAGGACCAAAACTCTAGATCCAGGCTAACTTCACACTGTTATGCTGAATACAGTATGTTGTTCTCAGGTCACACACTGTTATAACTCCATTGTTCATTTTTTATTGATGTAACATCTGCTCAATCTGTCATACCTTTGATAATGTTAATGCCACAAACATCTGATTTAAAACATCCCTTGAACATGTTGAAGCTTAATCTCACAGCTGTGTGTGTGTGTGTGTGTGTGTGTGTGTGACAACAGATGACCCTGCCGTGGGGAAGCCTGTCCAGTCTGAAGCTGGACTGTCGCTCTCAGAGTGACGATGGGCCCATCATGTGGGTGCGACCAGGAGAACAAATGGTCCCCACTGCTGACATGCCCAAGTCTCCTTTCAAACGACGCAGGTACAACCCCAAATTAAAAGGAAATGCATGACAACAGTTCCAGGTCAAAAAGATAAATAAATGATTGTTGTGCAGATTAATACATATCAGACTTTGCCTGTCTCATTAACCCTCCTCCCTCACTTTTTTGTGTCCAGGTCTATGAATGAGATAAAAAATCTGCACTACCTGCCGAGAGCCAGCGAGCCCAGAGAAGTTCTGTTTGAGGACCGGACTAAGGCCCATGCTGACCACGTAGGCCAGAGCTTTGACTGGCAGAGCACTGCCGCTGTGGGGGTGCTGAAGGCAGTGCAGTTTGGAGAATGGTGAGTGCTTTTGCTTTAATAAAGATATTGATTAAATGTGCATTTACTAAAATTCTACACATTATTATGGTGGTGTCTCTTTGCTATACTACATCCCTCCATGACATTGCCGTCTACAGCCTCTCTGTTGTTGTTCCAGCTTTTCTAAACCTTGTTTTCAAACTGCTGTTTGTAAATTAAACCTGCCTGCCACTTAATGAAGGTTGTAAGTGTTTTTGAACTATGAATAGTCATTTCAAGCAGCGAGTCGTGGAGGAGCTCTCAGCAGGCTACAGTTTGTCACAACCAGCGGCCCGGGGTTCATGTCGCAGTTAGGAGACAGGATGTGACGGAGGGGAAAGGGCAGTTAGGAGACGCCAGTGGTGTCAGTTTGATTTGAGTCTCACTAGACCTTCCAGTGGCTAAAAAGGGATTAGGCAGAGTAGCTATAATAATCTGAGATGGACAGTGTTAAAAACAGCCAAAGGACTTTATTCAGATTTATTGTGATGTTCTTCCTCCTGGATGTGTTAGCATCTAAAGCTAATGTGTTTGTTTTGGTAACATTAGCCACCTAGCATGGTCATGATTTTGTCTTTGTATTGAAATAATACTATTTTAATTTGGGAGTAATTTGAGCTTTGTGTAACATTAGTGCTTGTTGTCACATTAGCAGTAACCGGAGTGCTCTACTGGACTGCCGGATGTACTCAGTCTGCTAACGCTAGCTTCAGACTGGAGGCTACAGTTTGTCACAACCAGCGACCTGGGGTTCATGTCGCAGTTAGGAGACAGGATGTGACGGAGGGGAAAAGGCAGTTAGGAGACGCCAGTGGTGTCAGTTTGATTTGCGTCTCACTAGACCTTCCAGTGGCTAAAAAGGGATTAGGCAGAGTAGCTATAATAATAAGCATTAATGTTTGCAGTTACAACATCAGCATCTTGGCAATCTCTTACAGGAATAACCGACCTCGGATAACCAAAGATGTGGTGTGTTTCCATGCTGGGGACTTCAACGAAGTTGTCCAGAGACTGCAGCTGGACCTCTATGAGCCCCCAGTGTCTCAGGTGAGAACGGGACTTTTTGTATATCAGTGGGATGTGTGATTTGTTTGGTCATTGTACCACAGATGGCATACTATATACTGCTAAAGTTTTAACATGGAACCGCTGTGTATCTAGTGTGTCCAGTGGGTGGACGACGCCAAGCTCAACCAGCTGAGGAGGGAAGGCATCCGCTACGTCCGTGTCCAGCTGTGTGACGACGACATTTACTTCATCCCAAGGAACGTCATTCACCAGTTCAAGACGGTGTCTGCGGTTTGCAGCCTGGCCTGGCACATCCGCCTCAAACGGTACCATCCTGAGGCCGAGGAGGAGGAGCAGCAACCCAGTGATCTCAGCCCCACCTCAGGCCGAGTCTCTTTTTCCTCCCCTGCCAGGCCTGATGTAACGCCCTGCGTTAGACCGCCAGGTGACGGCATTCAAGGTGGGGTGGCCAAGACTGAAGAACCAGAGTTCCAGAGGCCAGCAACACCTCCCCGGGAGCCTCAGCCGGCACCTCCGCAACCCACCAAATCTGCTCATTTGCCCCCGACATACCAGGATCCTCACTTTTCCTTGGCACCTGTCCACTCTGCCTGCACACCTTCAGAAGAACCCACCATTCCAAAAGCCTTTGGCCACACTGCAGAGTTCTCAAAATGACCTTTGTGCCCCACCCCCATCCTCTCTCTGTGCACTGTGGGAGGGGCTCACGTGAAGGAATTTGAGACTAAAACTGACGTCGGTGTCAATCAGGAAGCCTTTCACCTCAAATTATTCTCCACGCTTTTTTAAATCTTTAAATGTTGGCTCAAATTTTACCAATGCTTTTTCAGTTAAAGTATATTGTTTAATGAGATGATGTAAAACTTTTTTTTTTTAAATTATTATTCGGTCGCCCCTAAACTGGAGCACTCTGCTGTCTTATTTAAAAAGTGTATATGGTGTAAAAAAAAATTTATTTTTAGACTGACGATGTAAGTTGCCACACTTACTGTTAGAAACAGATTTTTAATTCATGTTCCAGGCTCAGCTGTTAATTTTTGGCAGAATTACTTGACCTGAAGTCACAAGTGCAGGTGGACTGCTTGTTTACCTACAATATGATTATTCTGAAAGCATGACGCTGACATCACACTGCTTTATTAGTGTGAGTGATGCAGACATAATCTCTAATCTCATATAATAATCTGAAGATGTTGGGTTTTATAGAACGAAGACATTGTCGGTTGTCTACGAAGGGTAGCCAGGTCTTTTTCATAAAACTCAGAAGCTCAGCACATATTAGAATTCATGGATTGGCCACAACCAGTAAACATAAAAAAAAAAATCATTTGCTTTTTATTTTGAAAAACCTTTCATATAAATTGAGGAAGAGATTTTCCTTTATTTTGAAACTGAGTGTAATTATGCTACAAGCACTTACAAGTTCTTTGTTAGCTTCACGGCTGTGTTAGTCTTTATTTAAATGTTTTATACATTGTCCTTTTTCTTGCTGTTGATACAGTTTTGATATTTTATTTATTTTCTTAAGATGAAAATTAACATATGATCACAGGTTTATAACCAATGATGAATATTTAAAGTTGTGATCTAATTATAGGACCACCTCTAGATGACATTGGAATTACAGCTATTGCATTTAGCAATAAGAGTGGGGTTTTTTTCTGTAGGTGTGGAATACGTCTTCAGACTTTATGTAAATATGTTGTCGTACAGTAGCTGAGAATATGTGAATGCTGTCAGTGCACTCGTTCTTCATTTGATTCAAGTTCATTCACACCTTTAGTTTTAGCTGTAATATCACTAGGTTGTAGAGGGTTACTGTGGTTGTGTACACTTTTCTG